AAAAGAACAGAAAGGAAAGCAAGAAAGAAAGAACGAAAGAAAGAAAGGCGGAGGATTCCCCAACGGAATATGGAGAGGTGTGAGTACGTGCAGTGGAATTCCACTTTGCGGTTGAAAGGTCAACTCGTTTGGGACCCCCTTCCACAGCTCATCCGAAGCCTATGCTCCACTTCCGCGATTGTTGGGGCAGCGCGTCGGAATGTGCTACATTGCGTTGGCTGTCCCACACACCAATTGTGACACAGACTACGTAGCGACTAAGAGATGACAGTCTTGACGCACAATGATTCTGTGGGGTCACAGAGACCTACGGCCATTCCGCAGGAGACCCAGAGCAGCGACGTGCAATTGTCCTTTGAGCCCGGCGAGAAAGACAAACATCCGGCTATTTGGCACCTGGGACCATGGAAGAGCTAGAACGGCTAGAGCGGGGTGTCCATGATATGTGGAGATTCTTTTTGCGCGAAGGAAAGAGGATCAGACAAGTATGCCCCAACCATAATTCAAATCTGAGTAGCATGGAAGGGGTCAGCAAACAAAAGTTGTTCTGACCTGCAGGAGCGCAGAAGGTGTGCCAACAAGGTTCCTTGCAGGGGAGGTCTATCAAGATGTGCCTTTGCTGAGTCGCATAGGTCGCAAGCCAGCAAGCACTGGTGGATGACATGATAGACACGCAGTTAGACGCATATATATATATATTGCAAAGAGAGGGGACCAGCGATTCGCTGCTGTGTGATCGAAGGTCTCAATGAGGTACATGCCCGTGAAGTCGTCGGGTGTGGTTGGACTCCAGGAGAACGCATGCAGCGCTTTGAAGTGCGAAAAGAGCTTCGCTGTTGGTGGGTGCCTGGCGCACAGCGGCTCCACCAAGCGAAACTTCTGTTGCTTTGTGGAGAAAGTGAGCCCTCAGAAAGTGGTACTTTGAGGGCTGCAAATCGAAAGTCTCTGTAGATCAGCTTGTGGTCCAGCCGGATGCCCTGGGCATGATGCCAAGTCGCACGCCCCCGGCCATGTAGATCCAGATGTTCCTCTTGAAGGCCTCCAGACATGAGACCAGGCGACGCCAGCACTGAAGCCATGGAGGCGGCGCTGCTTGCATGAGGAAGGTCTAGGGGCGGCTTCGAATTCGTTGTCGAGGTGTGCACTGACGTTCATGGGCAGTCGCCTTCTAAAATGCTAACAACGAGCCCCGGAAGAAGAGTGGCAAGGGCCATCAACCTTGGCAGAGAAGATGGCTTTCAGCATGGTCTTTGAATCGGTTGATCGAGCTTGCCAAACCCAGCAAGCCCAAAACCTGGCACGCGCAGCCACTGCGTGGTCCGTTGGGGGGGGCTGGGCGACAACATAGAAAAATACAGAAGACGAGACAAACCATTTTAGCAAAGGAATTGTCTAATTAACAATTATGGAAGTGCAAACGTGTGCGAACCAAAAGTAGAATAACGCAGAGCTAAATGAATAGTGAAAGAGTAACCTGCAAGGAGAGGTATCAGTAATCAATAAAACAAAGTAACGAAGGAGCAACTATTTCAAGATTGTTGGGTAGCAAATAGGTCTTGAGGATAGTAACCTTGCCTTCTGTTTGCCGCATGTCCGCTGCGTATCTCTCAGGTATGTGACTGGGAATGCCGCGAATGCCACTTTTGGTCCTGAGAAGACTGCAGCTGGCATAGGTACAAGCAGCCTCAGCCTCACCCTAACGCTGGTGTCCAACTACTTGTCCAGCTCCTCCACCACCAAGAACAACAATCAAAAACAAATGCTTCTGGGGCGCACAGACCTGGCTTGATGGGTCAGGCTTCAGTTTGGGCAGGTATTGCAAATTGCCACACACCATTGGTGTCTAACGTTTCGTGCATCACGCATGGAGTCATTGGAAGCGAAGGTAGTAGTAGAAAACGCCTTTACACTACAATATGTGGCCCAACTGTAGAAAAAAACCTTTGACTTCAGCTGCAAAACAATATGCTGCTACACACAGCGCATCCACTACTACCACATTAACTTAACCTGTAAGGACATGAACCACATCGCGGAATCGCCTGAGCTGAGGGCTTTCTGCCAAGGTCAATAAACAGCCTTTACCTTGGCGTGGTTTTAACCATTGGGAACCTTTTCCGGAGCCTTTTCAAGGGCAGCTCGAAGCGGATGATCTACGAGGTGGGGATGACAGGGCAGAGCACTGGGAAAGGAGCTCCGTCAGCGAATGGATGTTGGACGAATGTAGTTGTGAGGGGGCACCTTAGGTAGCAAGGCGGTGTTGACTTTTGACCCGAAGGAAGACCCGAAGGAAAAGCCTATGAAGTCTCATGAACATGTTGTTCCTGGTTTCACACACGACCTGGCCTGGAGGAAGTCTCTGATACGGACCTGCTGCTGGATTTGTGCGATGGCATTTACCTGGCACGTGTCCAAGGCAATCTTGATGCTGAGTGGATGTTATATCACGCGACTTGGCAGCTGCTCCAACTGCTCTATTTTACAGCTCGGCTCAGACCTACAATTCGTAACCGAAGAACTAATGGCTGGCTCCTAAAACACTCTTTGGTGATGGTGTGAGTGCTCCCCCTTCAACAGCAGGACCAGTGCCAAGTCCAAGTCGTGTTCTTGGTAGTTCGGTAGTAACTTCTTGGGCAGTATCCTGCCCCGTCACCCAGCTGCAAGGAATTGATTCGCATCTACCGCAGCCCAGAGCTTTTAGCGCACATCTCAGGGAACAAGAGCGGAGGAGAGGAGGTGATTAAAGGAAGTGCTACGTCGCCTGGGACGTGAGCATATCTAGATATAAGTAAAAAAAATAAACGTCATTATATAACTATATATATATATGGACGATTGAAGATAGGCTATGCACATGAACACGACCTACCTAAGTATGGTATAGTATGGTCACTCTCACGGGTTAACCATGTCGCACAGCACATCAGGTGAGGAAGGTGAAAGTCAAAATCCATCAAGATGTCCATGCGAGTCGACCCAGGGTAGGTTCCGCCTTGGCTTTTCCAGGACCGCGCCAGATCACCAGCCCGGCGCCAAGCCCTGCGACCAATGCTCGCTGGGGCAAAGTGAAGGAGCATGTGAGGCCGGTTGACATGGGCTTTGGGCCAAATGACCACGAGTTCACAAGGTTTTGAATGGGACAACACCCAAGCGCTGTAATTGTGCATTTGGTTTCCAATCAATGCTCAGGAGAGACGCTAGACCGGATCTTTTGAAGGGTTCAGACACCGCCAATCTGGGTGGGGGACCACTGCTGCGGGACCAACTCAGGGACAGATTTCAGGAGACAATTCTCTTGCCTCTCTTCTGGATGAGTTCAACTGTGTGAAACGCATTGGTCCTTGAATCCCACCTTTTCTGGACCCTTTGTTGCTGTGCAAATCCAACTGCTGAAGGAACAGCTTGACTACCACCTGAGATAGGCAGCATGGGTTTTCCAAGGCGGATCCCTTCACATCTCCATGTTCAGGGCGAACAGCGGCTTGGAGAAGAGCCGAGCAAACACCGCCCCAGAGCGCCAGACCTCCACAAGCCGTGAGCGGTCCAGAAGCTGAGCAAGGGCTGCATAAGGGGGCCTTGTTGGGGCAGTTGAAGACTTCACCGGTCAGCGTGTACAGGAAAAGGTTTTCAGAAGTTGAGCCATGAAATGCCACGGATCATGAAGGATTTGCAACGTGTAGCTTAGCTTTACCTGTCAATTTGATTTTTGACGACTCAGAACCAAAGTCTGTGATACCCGGCGACATCTTGCGAGCAGCCGACGGAGCGCGCGGCTCTGAGTGCTTGCTCACGGCCCATCCTGCAAAATGCAGATGGGCTCCGGTCCCCGGCTGTAGAACCAAAATGAACATGAAGGAAGAGAGAGGTGCCGACTGCACTGCAATGCACATTGTTGTTATATATTCTCCGTTGACCTTGGAGCGATTCCACCGACAGGAACTAATGTCCCCCTTCCTCCATGGGCAGGCATCGCTACGCAACAAACCGACCGATTGGGACCTGGCACCCCCAGCCACAATGTCAATTAGAGCCCCATTATTGGAAAGCAGGATCGAAAGCCTGGTCCCCACGGTTGATCCACCACCGCAAGGCTGTGAATGCTGTTCACCAATGGCTCGCTGATGCTCGTGCTGCTGGCAGAGATGCTGAGGCAAGAATGCGTTTGACCTACGACGGATTGGGGTCCACTGTCCACTGAGGACGTCAAGAACCCAAGTTCTGAGACACTGACGTTGGCTAGACTCTGGGAGAGGGATCAAAAAACACAAATTATTGTAAGGGCTTCGCCCGGGTGCCGCCGACCCCTTTTCAAGAGGAGTGTAGCATGTGTAACTGAAGGCGTTAGTGTCGTTCCGGTGGTTGCCCGTCTGCGGAAAGAAGATGGGTGTTCTAGCCTCAGGCGTGGCCTCGGACAGGCTAACTGTGGCCTGTGCTAAAGCCCACAAAGGTGGAGATGCCAATGCCAATAAGGTTGCACTCTGCGAGGCGCCGAGAAGCGTCTGAGGGGGGCCGTCGCCTTCGGAAGCCTAGAAAAGAAGAGGCTGGCCTCGGCTGCTAGCACCGTACGTGGCAGCCCAGGCCATGCCAAGGCTGCGTGGCCTCGGACAGGCTAGCTGTGGCCT